GCACAGCCTCTCCTGCAGACTGGGCCACCCGCAACCCTAAATCATCATTAGGGCGGGAAATGAAGCTTAAAATGACTGTCAGCGAAACAGGCGAAAGCAGCTGCAGCCCACGGGACAGAGCCGAAAACGGCAGCCATGGTGGGATCGCGACCCGCCACGCTGGAACCGAGGATCGTCCTGCGTAAATACGCATATATGTGCGCTTTACAGCAGTCTGGCCACTGGGGGGAGCCAGTGAGTGGAGAAACATTACGGCCGGGCGTCTACGGCCAAGGTGGGATCGCAACCCAGCATGCTGGAAACGAGGCCCGTCCTGCATAGATATACAGAGACTTGCTCTTTACAGCAGTCTGGCCACTGGGGGGAGCCAGCGAGCAGGGCATCCGTGGCCATAGCGGGACTGCGACTGATAGCATTGGAACTGAGGTTTGGCCTGCATGAATATGGCGAGAAATATTCTTTACGGCAGTCCGGCCACTGGGGAGAGCCAGAGAGCGGAGGAGCGTCATGCTGAGCAGGCTGCCTTCCGCCATTGCCCTCATCGTGGTCTCATCCTGCCCTCACACCTCGCGGCTGCACGGAGCCCCTCAAATGCCCCCAGCCCAGCATGCTCCCTTTTAAAAGCCGCTCTCTCCGTAATGGGCTAATTACATACAGCATCCATCCCAAAAGCAGCCGAAAGTTAAATGCAATAATTAATATGAAGAAAGGCCGTTAAGAATACCAGGTAATTAGCAGGTGGGTTAAGGTTTGCATTTGATTACAGCTGAGGCACGTAGCCGGGGAGGGAGTTACATCTAAGCCCCATGTCAGTGTGCAGTCCCACAATGCCTGTCTGCGCTTAAAGGCAAAGCAGCACGAGTGACATTATGGGGTCGTATTGGTGTCAGTCGGATCCCATCCATCAGGCTCTCTGAGCGCACCTCCCAACAGAAGAACATGTGCAATAGGCACGGGGGGGGTGGAGGGACGTCATAAGGAAGAGGGGAAGGATAGAGGAGGAGGAGGAGGAGGAGGAGGAAAAGAGAGACAGGAAAGGGAACAGCGAGAAGCTGGTCTCGGAAACCAGCATTCTCATCAATTTTTAAATTATAATCATTTTTAATTAGTACTAAGACTGCGCTTAACAATACAGCGATACGAGATAACAAAGAGGGAAAAAACAAAGGCAAGGGAGGAAGAAAAAATAGGGAACAGAGAGCAAGAGAGAAAACAGGGTCTGAGTTAATGAAAGGATGCACTGCAGAGGAGCAAGGCAGAGCGTACAGAGAGGGGGCGCCGCTGGGCCCCCACGGCAAGAGCCGCCCTCCTCCCGCAGCCCGCCCCGCTGCCGGCTGTCCGCTCCGCATCAAACGGCTGGGCGCGGCACCGGCAGCGTATCGGGATGCGGGTCAGGTCCGCACTGGCCCGCCGCGGGACCGTCAGTGTCAGAGTGCGGGTGGGGGGAGAGGGAAGGGCTGCCCCCCGCATTAAAAATGGATTGGCCCATGTCAGGGACTGGTCCTTTCAATTAAAATAGGAGGGATAAGAAAACACAGAATAATGGGGGGCGATTAATTATTAATCCGCTTTTCCCATTTCCATACTGCTCCGGCCGCCGTGACAGGCAGGCCATTCGAACTGGGGACGGATGGGGGGGGGGGGGCAGGATCGATTTATCACGCTGGTTTCCACAGACTCCTCCTGAGGCACGTTTAGGATGCGACGCCAACCGCAACGCCCAGCACCCTCCTCCAGAAAGAGAGGAACTGAAATATGACCACGGATCGGTATCTGCAGTGCATTAAACTCAAACCCCTCCCCCCCTTTCCAAAAAGCGGGTAACGGAAAGGATACAGTGGGACAGGGCAGTGTCCAATCACTCACCAGCGGAGCGGAACGCCAAGGACTTTTTCGGGTCGAGTTTCCTTGGCAGGGAAACAGGCCTTTGCCCCGTCTGTCAAGAGGACGCCCCCCCCCCACACACCCTCCGAGAAACAACTTCACATAAAAATAAAGGTAAACAGTAGCAGTCAGAAGCACCCGGCGTGACCTGGCAGGGAGGCCCCCCCAATACGCAGAGGGGCTCAGTGATCTGTGAAAGGGCTTCACACGCCAGTGCCGTGCCCGCGGGAGACCCCGAAAGGGTGGGCGCCACAGCGCAAGATCTCAGTGTCAGCCGAGTCCAACGATATCTGTGTAAGATGGGTAACAAGAGCGTGCCACCCCCACCCCCCAAGGACGGGCAGAGGGTCTGCGGTCCAGCTCGGGAACAGCTGCTTCGCTGCCACACAGAATAATCTGGGCCTTGCCTTCCCTCTGAAATCACGAGGCGGAGTGACGAGGGACACGTCCCCCCCCCGTCAGACACGTCCCCTCCCCATCAGACATATGGCTGGTCCCGGCCAAGCCTGGCCACAAGCCCGGCACCGCCCATCAGGAAGCAGAGAGGCTGTCTGCCCTAGGTGGAGGGGTGAGGGGCAGCTAATCTGAGCCACGCCCGCACCGAGAACCTGCCAGAGGGCAGGAGGGAGAGCACAGTGGGGGAGGGGGCCAAGATGCCCAGGCCGAGGGCCTGGCAGGGGGGGCAGAGATGACACAAACACAAGCCACGTTTCGCAAAACGTGACACAGTCTCAAATGCAGCTTTCAGATCAAACCAGACTCTCTCCTCCATAGCCAACACGTCCCCCCCCCCCGTCCTCATCAACACACCGCGATGACTCACAGGCTGCGGGAGTCTGCCTCGCCGTGCCGATGCCGGATCATGGCGCTCGGCTCGGCCTGGCATCCTGCTGCGGGGCAAAACTGGGATCCCCCACCCGGAGACTCGGGGCCCGTTGTCGGCCGGGGCGGGGCAGTGCCAAGCAAACTGATCTTTTATTTACAAATGGCTGACTATCCGGATGCTGGGGGGTGCACCCCTGAGGGGGGGGTGGGTAGTGGGTGGATGTATAGGATGCCTGGGGAACGTGTCAGAGAGAAGCTGCCCTGTCGCTATGGCGATGGTTCGCCAGCCGCCTGACAGCTGCCTGTGGGCTTTGGGGGGGGCGGGGGTGTGTGGTACAGCATACTAAAGATGAGCTCTTTGGCTAAAAAGCACGGAAGCTCACATCGCAATGCTCTTACACCCTTTGCTGGTACACACTGTATATTACAATGTGACAAGCAGGTCAGCGGATCAGAACAGCCCGCAAAGACCGGACAGCTCCCATTTAGAAGTTAGCTCCTCTTCCCCTTCGCTGCTGTTCATATCGCCACGTCGTCCAGGCCTGACGGAGAACCCACGCAGAACCCTTAATTAATCAGAGCCTTTCAGGAACAACCTGATCCCAGTCGGGGGACACCTCATTCTACCTCGACTCCAAGGTGAACAGGCGGGGGTGTCATGTTAGCGAGGTGTCACACTAAGCGGGGACACTGTGTGCCCCCCCCCCCCCCCCCCCCCCCCCCCCCCCCCCCCCAACCGCCTGTCATTCTGTCTGTCAGACTCTCTCCCTGGTTCCCGTCTCCTTTTCTAGAAGCTCCTGTTCCTCTCTCTTCTTCTCCACCCATCTGCCATCTAACTTTTTGTCTGTCCCTCTCTCTCTGTGCCTTTTTCTCCTGTATCCATTCATCTCTCTCCATCTCCGCCCCCCTGGTCCACGGCTCACCTCTGCGCCCAGGATAGGCTGTGGGGTAGTACTCGTAGTACAGGTCCGGCTGGTCCAGGTTGCCAAAGGCCTCAAATTCCAGCTCAGCGTTCTGGAACAGTCCGAGCTTCGTGAGCAGAGCCAGGCGTACGAACCACAGCTGGGGGGGGGACATGAATGTCATCGGCTTCTCAATCTGACACAGCAGGCATGCGTGTGTGTGTGTGCGCGTGTGTGTGCGCGTACGCTGACATTTTACATGCTGCTTCACGGACCCAGCACGCCTCCGACGGGAGAAGGCGTCCTTGGGGGAGCCTGTAACTTGGCGTTATGACACGGCTACTGCATTTGCAGAGGCGCGGGAGGGAGGTCCGGAGACTCGCCGATGCTCTGGGCTGATGCCCTGGACCAGCCGTGCGTCACACAGATTCTTTATGGCCAAGTCTAAAAGACACGCTATGCCTGTCGCATCATAACTGCGTGTGACGTGTGCTGGAAGATGGTATGTGCAAAACTGCAGGGTCGCAAGTGGTAGAACAGCATGCAGATACCAGATTCATCCCTCCGGGGAAATTTTCTTTTCGCCTTTCCCATCTTGGTCTCCATGAGACACACAGACACACATGCAGGTGAGAGCGGACTTGGGGGACACAGCACAGCGTCAGCCAGCATGCGGCGTCCCTGCAGCTGGGGGTTAAGGGCGATGGGCTTCGAACTGGCAACCTGCTGAGCCAAACACTGTGGGGGGGGGGCCTCCAGGCAGACTGGGGGAGCAGACAGGGGGTCAGGTGTTGGGACATGACTCACGGGGGGGAGGGGGCTCACCTGCAAGGAGTCGGCGGTGTGGGTGGTGGGCTGGCCGCTCTTGCCATAGCCCTGGCCATGTGCCGTCAGCAAGCGGCCTGTCAGATCCACAGCCGCCCTCCAGTTCTTGGTGCTCTGTGGGGCAGGGGGGNATTACCCAGAAGCTCACCTACATTTAGTGGATGCCTGGCTGCTGCATTTTCGAAGCACCATCTCTCACAGGCCCATTTTTTAAACTGATTATGATTATTTCTCTAATGTCTCTCACTGCGTGAAGCCGGCTGACATTTTAAGGAAGGCACTCCGGCCCCGGGAGGGAGCCCCACATGCTGGCAAAACGCATTTGTACCCACAGAGATCTGCATTCGGCTCTGCTGCTGCTGACCGAGCCTGAGGAAGGGGTCCGGATCACAAACAACCTGGCCAGCGGGTGTCGGATCTGAAACTGGGGAGCCACTTCTCAGAATGCAGGCTGACATTGCAGATACACAGCGCACCCTTTTTATTTTTTAATTTTGGGGGGGGGGCATATTTTAAGGATTTTGAGGATTTTTACTGGGGTTACATAATGCAGAGGCTGCAGGCTTCCTAGCGAGAAAAAACAGCAGTAGGGGGCGCTCTCTCTCTCTGTGGAAGAGTGCATGATCCAGGAAGTGCCATACGGTTCCTGTCTTATCCCTTGCTAAGATGATCATCCCCCCAGGCTCCTGGCATTCTTTAGGTCTGATTTGTTATGCCTCTGAACCACTGGTGGGTGGGGGGAGGGGGGGGACTGAGAATGACACGGAGGAAGTTCTGACACAGAAGTCAGAGCGTAACTGAACCACGGACAGCCTGCTGACTGCGGGTGAAAAGGTGCAAACATAACCATTCATATGTGGATCAATCCAATGAATCCGGCCAGAAACAAAGCACTCGGTGTACATTTCACAGCGGGCTGACATTCCGTCTATGGTAAATAATAAACAGAACCCCCAGCAAATAAACACCAGCTTTGCCCTATCAGATTTCTGATAGAATACACCTCATCATTTTGTATTTTATTTTTATTTATCAAAACAAGCAAGTTCACGTGGCTTAAACACGCCGACCCAACAGCAATTTTTCAACCATCAAAAAATACAGATATATCCATTTTACAAGATACTGGCATTCACTATCCTTTGTAGATTCTAGATACTACAGTAGATGCTATATTTCTATAGTATAATTAGACTGTTATTACTTATAGTAAATTATATACGTGTGAACTCTTTCATGCTAATTATAAGCCTTAAGACCATCATTAACAATGATAATAGCTGGGCATAAAACAGAAGTTCCTTAATGGTGAAAATAAATATATCATCTTCAATGACACAACCCGGGCCGCAGTTTGCTCTACATAAAGCAGCGAAGGATCAGAACATTAAAGGATCAGAACATTAATAATGACCCATTTCCTGGATGATTTTACAGCACTGATGCAGCTTGCAGTTCTAGGGTCTGACTGCAGACTCGCCATCACACGCTACATACTGTACAGGAGGGAGACGGATACTTACGATCAGCTGCTGGAGTCCAGCAAAGGACTGCTCCACCGAGCTGGCAGTGAAGACCTGCCTCTTCAGGGACGCTTGTTCCCCCAGGAACCGCAGCATTAGATCCTTCACAGCATCTCCCTGCGACATGGAAACCAAACAAAAAAATCCATCACCCCCAAACTATCAGTAACACAATCAGAACCTCCTTGGGCCGGTTTTATCATGCTGCTTCTTACAGTTGAACTACTTCCATATTTTGAAGAAAAAAAAAAACTTTCTATTTTCTAGGAGACGTGTTTCAGACCAGATTCTCATTTAACATTAGGGTTCATTAGTCCTTAAAACGTGTAATTTTTATTATGTCTTAGGCATGAATTATGCACAATTTATGGCCAATTCATTACTACGCATAATTAAAAAGCACAAGGAACTTAATTATCCTTATGTCAGACACTCAGACAATATGGAACCAAACACAACCTCATTCTTCATTTAGTCAATGAAAGGAAAATGAAATAGTCGAGGGAGGGGCAGGGCGGGGTCACATCGCCTAGCTTACCTGCAGGTTATCAAACCGGAGCCCCGGCATGGAGAGCCGGTCCCGCTCCACGAATACGGGACTGTGCTGCTGAGTTGCCACGGAGATCAGAACCTTCCGGGTCTCCTCGGAGGGCAGCCACGCGTCATACCTGCGGTCGGCTTCGCTCATGTTCAGCGCCGTGGCAAACGGATCGTCGCTGCCAGAGAAGACGGCCTGAAGCTGGGAGAATGCCGGCTGCAGGGTCGTCCCAGCGGAGCCCGGCTGGGCCAACGATTCGGGGGCAGGGGGAGCGGTGAGGAGGCTGGGGGTGGTGGGTTTTTGAGGCGTGGTGTGGGGAGCCGGCGGTGACACGGCAGTAGGCGAGGGCTGGCTCTCGGCGACACCGGCCGGCAGCATGGACTCCGCGTTGGGGTTGCTGACTGATATAAAGGAGGAGGACGTGGTGAAGGAGTCGAAGAAGTCCGAGGCAGGGTTGACGTGCCCATTGTCGGTGAAGAACTTGCTAAGGCTGGGGCTCGGCTGGCAGACCAGAGGGGCCAGTCGGCTGGAGGCCTCCACACCACTACTGAAGCTCGGTGACTTAACCAGTGCCGGCTGAAAGCCATCGGGTGCCAATGCCTGGCCTGGCGCCCTCTGCTGGTTCCCTTGGCTGAAGATAGTGCACACCGGGATGGCTTCCTCCTTCGGTGTTACCTTGTTAGCATCGAATGGCTCCTGCAACTCTGTGCTCCTCGGGCTGGGCGTGTCCTCCGGCGGCTTGGCGTACTCCACTTCCCTTTCCATCGCAGACACTTGCTGTTCCTCATCTGCCGCCTCGTCCTCCAAGGCCGGCGGCGGTGCTTCCACCGTTATTTTAGGTGAAACCATGGCTTTTTCTTCCATCTCTTCTGCGCACTCTGATTCTTTGGGCTCTGAGTCTTCTCCGTCCTCAAACTGCTCCAGCAGAGACTCCATGTGGCCGGTGTCGTCCTCGCTGTTGTTGGGCGAGTCCGATATCATGACACTCTCCATCATCTGGTCGTTCAACTTGTCCAGCATGTTATCGGAAGAGCTGTCGTCCTGCGGGGTGATGAAGGCCTCGCCATCGAGGTCGATGTTCTCCTCCTGGAAGACAACCTCCGGTGGTTGAGCAGAGGACACTTCTGAGAGTGCAGGGTCTCCGCTCTGATTGTTTCCTGTGTCTCCAACAATGTCCAGGGACATGGGCCTTGGAGTCTGACTTTCATGGCTCTCCATCGCTAGTTCCCTGCCAATAAGATCAGAAAAGTCATGTGAGAAGACCGACTAATCAACCGTAAAAGAATGGCTTTTTCATAACACTGTATAAACTATACAGATTATCAGTGCAGTCTCTGTCAGTTTTACTGCATGAAATGGCTACATCCTCCAAGACACTAATACAATTTACCTAGACAAAAAAGATGACACGTATGCAGACAGTATGAGTAAACCATTTAACATGAAAACCCCACGAACGCAATAAACGTAATTCAGTCATATCCATTATAGAATTTTCTCGCTATGCTACTAACGTATTAACGGAAATGAACAAATAGTAATGACAATTCAAGCATAAACCGATATTTTACCTGAGAAATAAATAACACGATTAATGTTAGCCAGAGAGCTACCTAGCTGCGTAACGTTATCTGCCAGCCACGACAACCATAACACTACTGTTTAGAAGATAAGCAAAGAGAAGCATTCTGACAGGTCACTGTGTCTCATACATAAAATATATTTGAAAAAGTCAATTTCATCGTTGCTTAATTTTCGGTTTTTAAAATAATACAAACACCTATTCAGGTACCTAATAATTTAGAGGTAAAGTAATACACCACCAGTTTACCTTGGGATGACAACGACAATAGGATATGCGCACGCGCAAAACTCACTGCAAGCCGTAAGTACGGAAACCCACAAGCTCCAAACTTTACGGCTAGGGGACTGTCGCTATTCCCGGAAAACTTTACGGTATTTCATACGCCATGTTCCCTTCTAACACGTGCTAATTGCGTATATTTCGTGCGTTTATCTGCGTAGTATTTTTGTGGTTTGCGGAAATGTTCAGCCAGCAAGAAGCCTAAGCATAAATGAATAGAGCTGCACAATTAATCGACATCTGACCAAATAAACCGATATTTTGCTGATTATGGAGGACGATGCACCAGTTATATATGGTCTTGAATTTCAGGTATAGTACCAAATTCACAGCATTTCTGAGCAAAAACGATAACGAGTTCGCCGGCGATTATATAAATAATCAACCATAATTTTAAAGCTGATCACTATAAAACGACTTGTGTTCTTGACATTAAGCTTTAATCGAACAAAAATGATTTGCCGAAATTTAATTGCAGATTATTTCAAATAGTTCCTGAGCATTCTCTTTATTGCTCAAATGTTGCTGCAAACCCTTCAAGTATGCGTTTAGGAAACAACAATGGATGAGTATTAAAATACTGTTAAATAATAATGTCAGAGCTGTTGACCGGTGGCGTGACCCTAAAAACCTAAACACGGCTGTCAACGCCGCCTGTCGTATCCGATAAGTGAAGGATCAAGCTTATTCTGATGGCGAATAACACGCTTATATTTCCTTATGCGTCTTTTCCCTAGGCTCGGGCACTGACAGCCCAGACTGCCGAGACAGATGCCATACGTTTCCTTGTGGGCACACAGTCCCTGAAATTCGATAACCAGGTAAGTGTGACGCCAGCGCCTGCCACACCTGTACCTGTCAGCTTGCGCTGTCAAATGAAAATCTGCCGTGACAAACGACTCGTCTTTGTGGAGTGACGAGCACAGCCCCTGTTAGGGGGTCAAGCTGCCTGTGTCAAGGCTGCAATCACCGCGACATATACTTAAGGTTTTATTTCGATTGTTTGAAGTCGAAAGACTTTTTTGCAGGATATGTTTCACCCCGTGACTGTACAGGTGCATTGTCTTATAGACCAGTGTCAATCAGCAGTTGTCAAGTGGTTTTTTGATGAAGGTGCTATCCAACGTGTTGACAAGATTCTCCTGCAGAACAGCCAAAGAGCACATAATGTTTATTTGAAGCCCAAGAACCATCCATTACCCACAGCATTTTCATAAAGTTGTAACTTCACTGTCTCCTTGTCACATCCAACAGAACGGAACTGATGACAATATATGGCTGCATTATTGAAACCTACCAGTTTACTGGCTGTCGATAAATTATCTGGGCACATAAATATAGTTATTAACATTTTGCTAGTTACTCTTTTGTATGTGGCCACTTTGATAATGCCCCCTCAGGCACCTTTAATAAAGACCCCACCCCCACCCCAGAACTGCTGCCAAGCTCACTCACTTCACTCACAGGCTGTAAACTACAGGATACCCAGCGGTGTCCGGAATGTCGGTCCCTGTCTTCACATGGTCACTCAGGAGTGAAAGTCAGGCCCCCAGAAGTCACAGGTACAGCCTCAGACACTGACCGAGCCCAAACACCCCTCCCCCACTCGTGGAGCTGAGCCAATTACCTTCTGCCTCAGTGGAAAGCCTGGTCACAGTCAGCTAACAGCACAACCTGGACTCAAAGGCCCAGTACTCTCTGCAGTTTCTGAAGATCAGAATCTCCTAATTACTGTGCCTCCATGACACCCTTTCTGGGGGTGGGGGGTGTAGTGAACTGCCAGTTTCTGCCATTTTTGGATGCGCACGTCTGTGGCCCCGGCTGAAAATGGCACTAATCTGCTCCGTTATGAATTCCGTCACGGTGCTTCTCACCATGTGATTTATTGTCGTATTTAGTTATTTGCTGCCGGAGAGCCACAGGACGATGGCAGGAGCAGCTCGCCACATTAAAGGGAGACGGCCACACTCTGGTTTGTCAGCAGGGTCTTGTTAGTCAGCTTCTGATTGGTTGTATCTGATTGGTTTTGCCGTCTGTGTGGCGTATGTGAGGCGGTTTTACTCACATCCATGGCCATAACCTCCCCCCACCTCTGCCTTTAGTCATGTCATGTCGCCCCCTCCGGTGGTGGGTAGAGGTTCACGTAGGGAAATTAAGGTACATCAGTGGCCGACCTGTGCTGCTGGAGGTAATTCCGTCTCCAGATTCCACTCGCTCTGTCCAAGACCTGTTGATTTTGGGATGTCTCATTCCAAGTCAGTTTTAACACACACACATATATATAGTGGTTAAACGTGGTTAAACTGCTTAAACGTCACGGCCTGTTTTCCAGACCAAACAGGTTCGGGTTGCCCTTAATTCGTTCCCCTGAACCAGTGCAATTTGGGCGTCAGTGTCTTGCTCAAGGACACTTCGATGGGGTCAGGAGGACCCGGGGCTTGAACCTGCAACCCTCTGGTTGCCGAACGGTAGCCCTACCTCCTGCACCACTCTCTGCCTCTCTCCTTTTTTTTTGACATAATTAAAATGGCAGGGAAGCTTCCCGGCCCCTGAGTGGGATGACTCACTCCACGTCTCCGGCACTCGGATATAAACCCCTCGCTAAATCACACGTGGCTTTCCTGGTTTCCGCCGCTTCACTCCCGGCCCCATTACAGGTCCCGTCCCTCCCCCTGCTCCCCCGCACCAATTATTCTGTCCAGCCATCTGAATTTATTTGTATTGCCATCCACCATAAAATTATAACTTTGCGTCATAATTTTTGTTCGATGTGGTCCACCCCAAGGTTAATGGCTTCCTCTGACTTTGAGCTGCCTAAAGAGGTGTGGGCACGTCGGTCTCGGCACGGGGGCCTTCCTCGTAAAAAGCCACCGTGAGAAGGGGCGCCGCTCCAGTTACTGCCAGGTGCAACCAGTTAATAATCTGAAACAACATCTCATTAAGGAGCCTTGATTTTGAAGTAATGCACCACTTGTCTAGTGCTGCTCGTCAATCGCTTACCCAGAATCCCCTGCGTCAGAACCTAGTTTGTCAGGTCTTACAATGAGAGTGTTTCCACAGGCTGAGTTTAAAAATAAGGAGCGTCAATGCTAAGATTGAGCCTCTACAGCCACCGTACGCTGTAAGCAAAGGTGGTTTGTCATCACCCAGAGGCCTGACTTCTAGCACAGGAGAACACTCAATGTGTCCAGTTTTGATTTTTTCTGAGCTGGTGTGTGCAGACCCCTTTATCATATTTTCCAAACCTTAATAAGTAATTAAAAGCCTCCCAGTGGATAAAAATAGAATTATCTTTTTTTAATTGTATCTGTGGAATTATCTGCAATAAATTGCACATGAGAGGGGGGGGGCTGTAAGTTGTTTATCGTTGTGTATAATCATGGCAAGAACTGCGGAAGCCATTGATTCTGGCTTTTCAGAACGGTGCCCGTCAAATGGAATCCAGCACATCCTCGCTTTGTCTGCCTGCCACTGATTACAAAAATAACCAATTACAGCTATGACTGTCCCTCATGATTGCGACAGCCAGGCAGGGGAGGATAACGAATCTCGAAATTTAAACGGCTGTGTTTTCATGGTGCGTATTTTGACGGAGCGTCCTATTGGGTGCCATGAAAAACGGTTTGGCTCGTCCAGACGGGAAGCATGGATAATATATGCATAGTGTTGGCTTAATGGGTTAGCGCAGTATGAAATTGTCCCCTGAACGAACGCACTTTTGCTCTGATGTACTTGAATAGATGCAGAAGCGCAACTCGCCATACTTAACCTGAGCTGCTTTGGTGAAATCATACCCTCGTTTAAATGGGCAGAAATCGCTTTGCGTTAAAGGCAGCCATGTGTCTGACAAGCGCCAGGATGTTACGAAGCCGGACTCCTTTTCTCGGGATTATGATCTTAGTGAAATGTTATTGTTCCTTTTGTCCAACGGGGTATTTTTATGCCGGGGTGGGGGGGTTCCCTGAGCTTTTTTAAGGTACGGTGTGCGTGTAGGGGAGGTTCCTCCTGTCTAGGGGAGACCAAAATGCAGGTGGTCAGTCCCCATGGAGTTGTCACCGGGGGGGGGAAGCGCTGCGCTGCTTTTGGAGCCCCCCTGAGGGCCTGTCACCCACGCTCCCGCTCTTACACCCCCCCCCCCCCCACCTCTCTTCCCGCAGATACACATCATCGACTTTGATGATGAGAATGACATCATTAACAAGAGCGTGGCACTGCACCAGGCGGGGGAGATACGGCACATCGCCGCCAGTCCGGCGGACAAGAGCGTGCTGACGACGTGCTACAACAAAAGTAAGAACCCCCCCTACCCAGTCTCCGCCCGTCAGACCTCTGAATATGGCACCCCCCCCCCCCCCCCAAGTCATCACTCACTGTTCGCAGAAGTGCCAGAGGGAGGCGCTGTGCCCTGCCCCTCCCTCAGCCTGCGGTTGCCACAGGGCAATTAAAAAATTCAATGAACGTGAAGAAATTATTTGGTTGACGGGGGGGGAGGTGGTTGTAATTAAATTTTCAGTTTATTAGACTGAAGCCCACAGCGTTGCCGGTTTCATGGCAATCTGAACCACAGCGAGGGAAAAACGTGACCCCCAACCCCCCAGCCGATTGATTGCGTCTGGTGCCGGCCGCATTCGAGTTATCGCCATGATGCCAGAGGCAGTTCCTTCCCTGGGTTGGGCACACCCGGGCACTGCCCTCCGGAGTTTGGGGGCCTGCCCTGTTCCTCATTTCGTTCCCAGAGGCGGAATGTGACTACCGTCTGGTTCCCTCCATCGCCTTGGCAATGCCCGCTTGGTCCCGTGCTCCATGCCAGTTAATCGTGGCCCGGCTCCTATGTTCCGGAGTTACCCACCTTACAATTCACATTCCACCAAAGTCCTGGATCCATCACTGACTTCGCAGGAAACGCTGCCTATCTCTGATTTCCTTTAAGTTTAACCTTGGATTAATGTCTCATTCTGCTCTGCACTGATAACGGTTCTATGTTTCTTGAGTGGTAGAGGATGGATGGGTGCGAACAGCGCCCTCACCTTACACCACGCCTAAAACCCCA